CTCAAATAGTCGTCGTGTTTGATCACAGTGTAATACACGGCTTTGGCTGCTTTATTTGTTAAAAAACCGCGAGTCAAACTGATGCAATCCCATAATTTAGCACTTCCTTTAATTCAAAAGAAATGAGCCCCAAAAAATACTCAAATGATTGAATTCAGTAATCGCTTGAAGTTTATGACCTTTGAACCTACAGTTGGTTCGAAAATAAAGCATGGATGTTGATTAATTACTTCTTGCTCTTTTTCTAACCTGAAGGTCTTTTTCCAGCCAATCATATTGTTGAACAATCTGTTCAATGCCATACTGGTAGAAGAAGTACACTTCGGTTGAAATGCTGATGATGTGTGCAGGACCAATGTTCCAGCTAAACCATTTACAAATAAAAAAAAAAACATATCCATTAAGATACTCATAAGATGAAGGCTTGCTTACCAGCCAACTGACTGATCTAAACTGCTGAAGTTCAACCAAAGTTTCACTTAATCTACAGAATTCAACCTTAGATTCAACAATTACAGTACAACATACCAAGTGGTACCACATGAAATTACTTTCCAGCAAAAATCCATTACTTAATACAGTTCCACAGATGGGTTTTTAGAATTCCGAGAGAAGATGGGTTCTTTGAAACGGAATTCCAAGGGAGGGGTATAGAATAAACAAATGGGATAGACCTGGATTTCAACATATTTTACCTGTAGAAGATACTGTCAGTATTTCCTGGCATGGAAAACCTGTTTTTGTAGTTGGAAAAGTTGCTATAAGGAAAGAACAGTCATACAATTTAAAAAGTAAATGTCAATGTTACACGAAATTACAAGTTGAACATTATAAACCACTTGCCATGGCTCTTACTAACACTGTTATGTGTTACAAATCATATGCTAGCTAAAAGGCAGCTTTACAACTGTATTCTTTTGCCAAACATTTTGGCAGTAAGGCCTTGTTATAGATTCTGATATTCATTGTTCAAAGAAAAAGATATTTTGATTTATAGATTAGAACCAACCAGCAACTCTTAAATCATTATCTTAATTTTACAATGCTATATTAACCAAAGGTTTGAAAAATATGTCTTTTGTCATGACAGTTCTTTTCTTGAAATTCCTTTCATCAAGGCTATATGTCATGTACTTACTAAGCATATTCATGATTTCCTGGACAGGTCATGTATGGTACATAAGTGGCAATTGACTGAATTTGATTCATGAAGTCATCTCCTACACGCGCATTATCCTGTTTGTTGATAAACAGAAATAGTAGGTCCCAGCTACTCTAAACAGATTATTTAATAATGGCTCACACAGAGTCCGATCAGAAAGTCAAGAGCGCTTAACTTTCTGGCAATCTTACTTGCTACCAGGAATTGAATCAACTTAAAACAAAATGCACAAAATTCTGAGTCTGAGAAAAAGAGAGGCATGGAATGGTAAAATTAAAAACTTGCCCGGAAGATGATCACATGAACCTTGTTTGAAAATCAGAACTTAAGACGGAATCCACCAGAAGTTCAAGTAGCAAGTGGACAAAAACCTAGTACCAAGATTATTTACATCGTATTGCAAACTTCTGTGTGACTGTTTTAAATATCTTGTACAAAAAAATCATTTCTCGCAACACCAAATGTCGAAAACAAATGTTGAACTTTGTACAAAACACTTGAAAGTACTGGAGAAATGAAATGGAGATGAAATTTTACCTGCGTTTGCACAATTTCTCTGAACTTTGAAATTTATTTTCTCTCGTTCCCATGGGAAATTGTTTTCGGTGTTATTTCAGGCAACTATTTATATTCTTTAGCTTTAAGAAAATGTAAAAAGGACTGTAAAATACTTAAAATTATTCTGGTACCAGATTTTTG